CAGCCGACTAAAGACTAAAGACGACTAAAGATGTCAGCCTTCTTCAATCTTTTCTAAGAACAAGGCCGCTCATCACCAGGGCGACTCATAAAAGCTCAATATGGCCATTATGACCACCTACCAAAAACTACCTTTTCCTGCCTTCTGAAACTTCTGATTCTTAGAGTGAATTGTTGGTTCATAATCCTCATATTTGCACTTGCCCTGTCCCTTTTGCACAAAGAGCTACTTTATTGAACTTATACTGATGAATTTTGTTGAGAAGATGGTTTATGTGCCATCCAGTTGGTTGAAGTTTGATTGCCAGTGCAGAGCTGCCATTTTGGCTGGTAGCATGGCATTGGCTTGCACATCTGGGGAGCCGTGCCCAGCCACAAAGTGCCTGAGCACAAGAGGAAACACCCCAGTACTTTGCCTGAGCACCTCAGAAGTATTACTAATTGCTTGGGTGGGTGCTTGTACTTTAGAATGTGTTCTTTGTGACTGTGACTGAGTGCCTGATGGCTTGTGACAGTGGAACCTGTTTTGGGTCATGAGGCACATGATGGGTGGTGGTGGCTACTATCCTCCAGAGCCTCCACATCCATTTCGCCATGAATACCCACCTTCCTTTGGCAGGCCTTGGCCAGGGCCAGGGTACCAACCTTCCATGTCCTCGACCAGGGCAAGTCTTGGGACTGGGAGTGAGATGGGGTCAGAGCCACCAGATGGAGATGGAGATGATGAGGGTGACTCTGCCCAGAGCTGCTTGCCTTCATTTGTTGCTCTTTCAGGGGTGTGTGGTACCAGGTCTTGCCAGCACATCCATCCCTTTTTACTCTCTAACTAAACCACCTTTCTTTTCTCTAACTCTGGGTTTGTTTTGGCTAGTGCTGGGTCTTGCTGGCCACCACACCCATCCCTGCTAAGATCCACTGACTGTGGCTGGGCCTTGGTGTAGTGTAAGCCTATTTTTGTTGTGAGTCAGGTCTTTGCCACCTTACCCAGCCCCAGCACCCTCTCCCAGGCAGCTCTTCTGACAAGCACCTTGCCTGCAAGTGGCTGGGCTGTGACCTTCAATTCAAGAGCAGCCTGCATGGGCATCAGGTCAAGCTCACCCAGTGAGAAGAAAAAGAAGAAGGACAAGAAGAACAAGAAGAAGAAGAAAAGGCATGACAAAAAGAAGAAGAAGAAGAAAGACAGAGACTTGGCAGATGTATGGTGTTGGTTGGGTGGGTGTTCAGGTCATGGTGCAGGGTGTGTTTGAAAGTCTCATCTGGGGCTAGGCTGTTCCATCTAAGACTTTTGTTGAATCACAGTCAGTTGCACCTTTCTTAGCTGGCATGCCTCAGGTGACTCAGATGATGCTGACAGCCACTTGGATATACCTGCTCACACCCCTACATACCACCTGGGCTTGGTACTTTTGCATTCTTTGGCCTGAGGTGAAGAGCTGGACAAAAGGGATGTGCCAAAAGTAACCCTGGCAGTCTCCAAGAAGGGGAAGAAGAATGTTTTCCCAAGGAGTGGTTTGTTTCATAGTGGTGTGTTTGTTTTGTTTTGGTGGTATCAGCAATTGAAGTGCTGTGGTGTATTTGTTTTGTTTTGGGGTGGTATCAGCAATTGAAGTGCTGGCATAGACCTATAGGGCTGATGTGCCAACTTCACATGTGACAGGAGGGATGCCCTCAGATTTTTGAAGTACTTGCACCCTGATCGCTTTCCAGATGGTAGCTTGGCATCAATCCTCACAGGTGCCAATGCATGTTTGTTCTTGTGCTTGCCTTACCTGCAAAGTGCCCAGGATTGAGGCAGACTTTGACAGATGAACAAATTGACCAATGCTTCTTCCTACTTTCTGGGCTCCCACCCTTTTTGCAAGTGAGGGAGCTCAGGGCAGGTAATAGAGGGAAATTGACACTTGGAGAATTAGGTGCCATTGTTTTGCCATGCAACCTGTCATTCACAAGTTCCATTTAAGCTTTTCAGCTCCTCAGTGTTTGTGCTGCCATTCCCTGTAGTTTGCATTCACCCAGCATCTCCTGGGCCCAGGAAGGAGAAGATCAAAGAGGCCACGCAGAGTTTTGAGAAGAGGGTAGGCAAGAGGAGATTTGATGAAGTCAGCTCAGATTACAACAATTTGGAGTCTTGTCTGTGGTGTGATGTTGGGAAACCCTTTCATGCAACCTTGGCATGGGTTCTGGCAGTCTGGGTCACTGGTGTACTCTTTTGGAACCTGGGTCAAGTGGTGTTATCAAAGCTGCTGTGTTCACATTGCAAACCTAGGACGCAGTGGCTCAGCAGTATGGATGGGATGAAGCTTTCAATGGAAAGTACCCTCATGCTAGTTTTGTACCTTGGCAAAAAAATTAGTGGTGTCAGTGTTCAACCCCTCAACCACTCAACCCCACCACCACTCTATCCCTCTTCCTTGCCTCAGGGGTGTGGTGGTGGTGCAGACACTCGCCCCACTTTCTTCTTGGAAGTGGCCAAGAATGGTGACTCCTGGCTTTTTAGCAAGGATGGTGCCTTGTCAGCTTCATCCTTTGCAATGTGTTGTTGACTATGCTACAGGGGTTGTTTGT